CTGTTTATTCAATAGAACATTTTCTCATTCAGATCTAACCGAAGTGATAACATACCAAACAGAGCTTCGCAAAGACAAAGGCAAACGCTTAAGTAAGCGGTAGCATGGGAGATTGCACACTATGAGTGACCCTGTCCGGCACTCAAGTATTTAAGGAATGTTTGGAGTGCCCGGTACAGACTGCACCCCTGTCTGAATCTCCCATCACACCTCCTCAAAGCACACACATATCCTGACAAACCCACCCTGCTGGAAACAAGTACAGGTAAAAGAAAGTGAAACAACAACAAATGAGGAAAGGTAGTACAGAAAGACAGTTCATCCAAAAACAAAAAGTTCTCTTAACATTTACTCATCACAATCCTGTTTGAGTTTCTTTCCTCTGTCAAATACCAAAGACAATATTTTAAAGAATGTCAGAAACCATTAGCCATTGACTTCTGTTGTATTTCCCAGCATTCTTTAAAATATCTTGTTTAAAAAAGGGTTTGAAACCATTTTAAAGAGATAAATGGTGATTAAATGTCTATTATTAGATGAACAATACCTTTAAATGATAACTACTGCCTAAAGAATAACCTCCAAAATCACCTTTAAGAGTGGTAGTTTACCATTACAAAGATAATGCAAAATTCTAAAATGTTTACGTTGCACACATACTTTTACAACCACTGATAAAGAAAATATATGCTTGATGGTGATCTCAGATAGTCGTCAGAGAGCACATTTAACCCTATAAAGCCTATTTTTGTTGTTGTGTGAATTACTAGGGCTTGTAATTACAGCGGGTCCAATAAACTCTATTATATCAAATCGCAATAAATTTGTCAATAACAATGATAAGCTCTGGACATTTTAACTCTATATTGATCTAAAAGCCAATGACACAGCAGAAATGTGCAACAATGGGAATCTAAAAGTGTGTTGATTATTAAAGATGCAGCAAATATTTGGCCACTGAAAATTTATCAGCCAAAAATATGTTATGCCACTTAATGGACTCTCTAATTTTTGTGGCTTGAGTCATTGTTGAAGAACTAAGAACTAAGAAGGCATTAACAGCTTGTATCAAAAAATATATGGTTATCTTTAAATATGGATAATAATAATTAGAGAACCCATTTTGCCATATCGCCCAGCCCTACTTTTATTTTATTAACAAAATTAAAATAATTTTATCAATTAATATAATAAAAATTTTCAAATTCTTAACTGATTTTATATTTTAAAAAAAGATTAACGTCAACTTTATTTTAGGGCTGCACAATTTAAGATTATAATACCGCGATATGTGCATTTGCAATACTCACACTGCAGAACTAGTAATGTGGAGTCAGGGCTGTAGATGACCAGTAGCCACAGTTGAAAAACACATGATTTATGGTTACATTTTGCAGTGACCCCACTATGTTCCCTTCATTTTTTGTTTGCATGCTTTCTTAAAGCCCATGTAAGCATTTTAAACCAGTTTAAAGGATTCGGCAGAATATTTTTGGTTTTCAAATTTAAGAAAGACTATTTGTAATAATGTATATACGATGAAGACTACATGGTGTTTTTTTACATTTGGCTATTTAATTTGTGTATCAGAATGCTGCTAGATATTATTTGTATTTTTGTTCTACTGCATTTATCAATGCTTGTTATTGGTTTCTTATAGTTTCTGCAAATGCTCTACAAAATTATTCCAATTACTTCAAAATATTTTTTTTTCCAAATAAAGCCATTCAAATCCATTTTTCATTCATTTTCTTGTCGGCTTAGTCCCTTTATTAATCCAGGGACGCCACAGCAGAATGAACCGCCAACTTATCCAGCAAGTTTTTTTTTACGCAGCGTATGCCCTTCCAGCCGCAACCCTTCTCTGGGAAACATCCATACACACATTTACACACACTCATACACCCGGAGGAAACCCACGCGAACGTAGGGAGTAGGGTTGTAACGGTATGAGTTTTTCACGGTATGATAATCGTCTAAAATAATACCACGGTTTGACGGTTTCGCGGTATACGGTATGTTACAAATGTTACAAAATAATAGAACAGTGAAGCAAATTTGACTTTTTCCAAATAATATATTTTTAGTTACTATAAACAACACCACTTACAATGAACAAATAAAAATAAGAAAATAATAAATAATGTGTCAAAGTCCAAATAAAGTCCAAATAAACATGGTGCAAATCCTCAGTAAAAAATAGATATAAATATTTACTATACTATAAATAGTTACATAACGAAACTAGATTCAATATGGAACATCCTTAGGTTCTATGTGCCAGCATGGATTTGGATGTGGTTGTATGCAATGCAGACAAACAGCTGCATCTTCATTTGCGTCTTTTGAAAACAGCAAGAGCAGCAGTTCGTCTTTGCTGTGTCACTGTTTTGTCATGTTTCTGTGCTGCTGTGCATGCAAAAGTACTTAGTATGAGAATTATTTCATGCAAAACTTTTTTTTTTGCGTTTTATTTAGCCGCGCATAAATGTATGCCTTTCTCTCATTCCGTGTTGTTCAAAAAGCTTGGTCCACAAACAAAAGCGAAACCTATGCTTATTGGTTGTGATATAGCGAGTTTGAACCAATCTGGGCATGGAGGAGGGACAATGCATCAATGTATCATGTCTGATTTGTCCGGAGACACAGTGACGAGCGTTTCTTTGTCAAATCAGCGTTGTCAAATGTTGATGACGTAACCGCACTGATTCCGGAGCCTCTGAAAGTCCGCGAATATTATGTGATACGGCACTGGAAAGCTGAGATTCTCTTCTTTATGCCAATCTTTGAATTGTATGAATCGGATCAGCGGATCAAAAGTTATTAAACATTTAAGAGCAATACTTATTTTTAGCCGCGGGCGGCTGTCTCGGTCTTTAAGGGTTAAAACCGTTGATATGCAATTGTTCATGGTATGATAATCGTGCACGTTCAAATCGTGGTAAACCGTCATACCGGTATATTGTTACAACCCTAGTAGGGAGAACATGCAAACTCCACACAGAAATGTCAACTGAGCCGTGGCTCGAACCAGCAACCCAGCGACCTTCTTGCTGTGAGGTGACAGCACTACCTACTGCGCCCAGCTTCTCCCTGCCATTCAAATTCTACTCAATAACCCAATGTCAGTTTTAGTCAAAATTGCACAGCCCTACTTTATTTACATTAAAAGACATATACTGGACTGAAACAGCTTTATTTATGCATTATATGACCACTTTGTGCATTATTATTTCTAATTATTTAATGAACTGGAGTAAATTATTGCTATAATACTACAGTTACCACACCTCATGACAGTTAGATGAATTATTAAATTATTATTTAAATGAAAAAGATTTCCTGGACTGAAACATCTATGCATTTCCTTTGTGCATAATTCTAATAATTCAACAAACAGGAGCTAATAATCTACTGCTGCTTATAGTAGAGGAAGTACAGTATGACAGTTGATGTTTTTCTAGATTAATTATATCAAGAAATGTCTCAGGTATATTTGTGTGTACACATGCATTTATGTGGGGAAAAACTGATAGAAAACCTGTCTAATTGAGCAATTAATTAATAATTAAAGTCATTATGTGTGGATTAAGAAAACGTTTTTATCCTAATGTTTATTATGCATGTTTTGTTCTTGTGCTGTCATTAGAGACTGATAAATAAACATGTAATTCACCATTAGTGATATGAAACTGTAACAGGGTGAAGATAATAATTAATAAAAAAATCTTTACACACTTCATAACATTCATCAGTCAATGAGAACCAAGCGCTCTGTATGCTCAACTCTAGCATAGTATAACTCCACCTGATGACTCGTATAACTGATCTTTTGAATGTAATTTATAAAAGAGAGTCTACTTAATAAATAACTCATTCATTTACATCAGAATGAGACTTTTCTGTTTTGACTATATAAAATATTTGCAACTAACTGAATGTTTTTCTCCCCTATTTTCAGGTCTATATTCTTAATGTACCTGCAACGCCTTACTTTCCAGCTCATTATTACTACAATATATCATTTTATTTAAATGTGCATGGCTTTACATGTTTAAGGTCAAGCAGACAAGTTTCTCTAATGCAAGTAGGTTAAAAAATGAATAAACATTTTTTAAAACGTTTAGAGGAAGCTCTTCACATGATGTAAACAACGACTCTCTCCTCATGCGACACATGCAGTTAATCAAACAGGATCGATACTACAGGTGCAACCAAATACTGCCTGCTCAAAACCATCGATACTAAACACTAAAAGACTACAAGATCGCGATTTTTTTATACAAGTTATACGCTTTTTCAAATGGAAATGGGTTAGCTGATAAAGACACTTCTGGAAACAATAGTATGAGATTTTATACAAAATAGGCTTAGATTATGTAAAGCATCTTGAATACTGTATATGTACGGACATTGTCAGCATCACGACGTCTAATCAGTCCAGTTAAAAATCGCTCCAACATTTGAGGATTAACGTGACAAGCTCGAACAGATCAGCAAGTCTTGAATCATTTGTCTTATTTCATTCGTATTTTGTCACTGGCTGCTCTATTAACTCCACCTATAACGCATGATGACTTTAGCCAAACTTTAAAGTAGTTTAAGACCCCTAAAAAAATTACTAAATTAAATAACTTATTCATTTTAATACGACAATCCAGAAACAGCTCACAAATATGTCTTTTGAATCGAGTCTTAAAAGAAAAGAGCAGCTGTAACGTTAGTAATAACCGCGAACTACCGTAAATCATCCCTCCATAAAACTTAAAACAGAGATAGCACGATTTCGGTGACATTACAAAGAAAGCAACTTTAACATTAAGTATCTTAAGTTAATGTTTTGACAATCAGCAGCCCAAGCTACTCAGCTAGCTTTAAGGAATTAGCTAAATTAGCACGACGACCAAACTCACCGAAACTCCAGCATGACACAAAAACAACCTGCGCCGACACACAAACAACTCGCGCTTGAAATGTAAACGACTTTAAAGAAGTCTTACCTGTAGTGAGAAGTGCGTCTGTGGAGAAATAAACTTCATATGGTCGGTGAAGTTTCTAGACTGTAAAGTTAGCTTAAACGGGCTAAGTGCGCGTATCAGTGAGTGAAGCCCTCATGAGCGCGCTGCTCGTGCTCTCTGTGTCTGCGCCATATTCACAGCGAAGCTTCATCCGGGGAACTGACCGCCCAGCACTGCCCCCAGCAGGCCCTGACACTCCATATATGTTAGATATACAATACTGTAATCTACTGTATATACACCAGGGGCTTTCAGTCGTTTTAATGCCACTGACCTCCAAATATCCTCGTGCGAAGGATCCCATCCTAAAATATGGAAAGTATCATTTTCACATGAAAAAATACTATACTATGAACTATACTGTTGTATATTATAGTATTTACAACTCTTTGTTATCGAAGGTAGCAACATACTATAGACAATTATCCTTTGGATTTTATTACAGTACACTGTTTTGTGCTGTATTATAGCCTATATTTGTAGAAAACGACAGTATTTGGGTCATTTGTTTTTATTCCTATAGTTGTTGTGTTACCATTGCAACCATATAATTATCACAACATATTAATTAAAGTACTTTACTATAGTATGATTTAAAAGCTCTATAATATTTACTATAAAATGCTATTTGTTTTAGTTTCTTTTGTGAAGACCAAATTTATACTGCGAGGATATAATTTTATGAATGAACTTAAATATTATTTGAAAAATAATAGAAAATATTATAATTTATTATATGTTGTATGATATATCATCATTCATTCATTCATTTTCTTTTCAGTGTAGTTCCTTTATTAATCTGGTGTAGCCACAGTGGAGTAACCTGTCAACTTGTCCAGCATATGTTTTACGCAGCGGACGCCCTTCCAGCCGCAACCCATCACTGGAAAACATCCATACTCGCATTCACACAAACCGGAGCACCAGGAGGAAACCACACAAACACAGGGAGAACATGCAAACTCCACACAGGAATAACTGACCCAGCCGAGGCTCAAAACAGTGACCTTCTTGCTGTGAGGCAAACTTGCTGCCCACTCTGCCACCACGTCGCCATTATATATAATAATCATTTCTATTACATTATACATTTTTATCCATGTAATATTTATTCATCATAATCTCATTATTTAATTCAAATTCTGTTTGATTGTTTGAATTTCACATTGTTTTTTATCCTCCTGAAACCCAAAGAAAATTTAGTTTTTTTTTCTGTGATTTCCTATATCCTGTGGATTAAAAAATTCTACAGTTTAAAGTTTTTACATTTTGTTTTTATTTTAAATTTTACAGCATGTCTACTGTAGTGGACCACAGGACCATTTTAGTTCGAAACAACCATCACTCTGAACATGAATATATCTGTAAAGGGATAATAATCCAATATTAAAGTAACAAAAACAAAACAAAAGCCATTTTTTCCTTTTGTATTGAAATTCCTAAAACAGTTTAGTCTGAAAGAGAGCCGAACTCAAAAAAAAAGTGATGTTAAACCAAAACAAATTTAACATAAGAGCGATTGACTTAGTTGATCATTTGGAAAAATGGCAGAAGGAAGATTTTTCCAATGAATCGTCTGTTGAACTGCCTCCCACTCATCACAAATACTGCAGAAGACCTGTTGGGACCCGCATGGAGCCAAGATTCTCACAGAAATCAGTCAAGTTTGGTGAAGGAAAAATCATGATTTGGCATCACATTTAGTATGGGGGCATGCATTCTTCAGCAGGATAGCTCTCCTTTTCATACTTCAGCCTTCACATCAAAGTTCCTGAAAGCAAAGAAGGTCAAGGTGCTCCAGGATTGGCCAGCCCAGTAACCAGGATTGAACATTATTGAACATGTCTGGGGAGAGATGGAGGAGCCGTTGAAGATGAATTTAAAGAATCTTGATCAATCCGGGGGTCCTGCAAGAACGCTTTCTTTGCCATTCCAGATGACTTTATTAATAAGTTATTTGAGTAATCGCAGACATGTATTGATGCAGACCTCCAAACTAATGGGAGTCACACAATTAAATTTGTTTCCACTGCACTATGACTTTATATTTTATACTGTACATTATTTCTGATAAGTGACAAGACTTGAAATCAAGGCATGATCATATTTTATTTTGGTAAAATAAGCATAATCTAGAGGCCTTTGCCTTTCATATAAGCCACTTCAGATACCAAATGATCAACTAGAAGTCAAGTTATTATTTGATATTTCTAAAACTTGGATAGGCGACAAGACTTGTAGTGTGTATACGGTTGAAGTCAGAATTATTAGCTCCATTAAAAAAAAAAATCTTGTTTAAATATTTACTAAATGATGTTTAACAGAGCAAGGAAAGTTTCACAGTATGTCTAATAATATTTTTTCTTCTGGGGAAAGTCCTATTTGTTTTATTTTGGCAAGAATAAAAGCAGTTTTTAATTTTTAAAAAAACATCTTAAGGTCCAAATTATGAGCCCCTTTAGGCTATATTTATTTTTCGATAGTCTACAGAACAAACTATTGTTATACAATACTTGCATAATTACCCTAACCTAGTTAGGCCTTTAAATGTCACTTTAAGCTGTATAGAAGTGTCTTGAAAAATATCTAGTAAAATATTATTTACTGTCATCATGGCAAAAATAAAATAAATAAGTTTTTAGAAATGAGTTATTAAATATTATGTTTAGAAATGTGTTGAAAAAAAACTTCTCTCTGTTAAACAAAAATTGGGGGAAAATAAATGGGGGCTAAATAAATTCAGGGGGGCTGACTTCAACTGTATATATTTAAAAATTTATTAGTTAAAAATTACATTAAAATGTTTTTTTCCTCAAACATTTTTCAAGAACTCTTTATTCTCACTTGCGGGCCCCTGTTTGCATATTCGTGGAATACAGAATTTATCATGTCACGGTAAAGATCTCAATAACAAAATTTGTATTATTCTATTAACATATAATACACAATCTTACAGAAAACTGGAATGTGTGCATTAGTTTCATTTGTATTTTGTTATATATAAAAACTGTTCTTGTGATTGTAATAATTGTGTAATTGAGAAAACATGTATATGAAAAGTGCAGACTGTGTTGAATTTAATTTGCTGAAAGAATTTTAATGTATTTTGGCATGAGTATTTAGACACCTTTTTATGTAAACATGTACAATAAGGGTTTAGTTTGCTTTCCTTAGGTAATTATGAACTAATAACAAAAATACTGCTATATTACATTCATTCATTCACTCATTTTCCTTCGGCTTAGTCTCTATTTCAGACATCGCCACAGCACCATGAACCACTATTCCAGCATGTGTTTTACACAGCAGATGACCTTCCAGCCGAAACCCAGTATTGGGAAACACCCATACACTCTCAATCACACACACACACACACACACACACACACACACACACACACACACACACACACACACACACACACACACACACACACACTCATACACTAGTCGATTTTGTTTACCCAATTAACTTATAGCGCATGTCTTTGGGCTTTGGGAGAAACCAGGGCACCCCCAGGAAACCCATGCGGACACAGGGAGAACATGCAAACTCAACACAGAAATACCAATTAGCCCAGCCAAGACTCGCACCAGTGACCTTCTTGCTGTGAGGCAACAGTGCTAACCACTGAGCCACCGTGCCACCTCTATAATAAATTCTTTAAAATATAACCCATATTTGTGAAATTTAATGCTCTGTGAACCAAGATAAACAATTTAATTAAACATACACCATCATTTTACTCTAAACTTTGTAACTAAATTAAAGATAATTAACCTACTAAAGTAATGAAAATGTATATTGTACATTATTTATTTTATTAAGTAGCAAAAGTCTTGTTATTTAGTAACTGATGACATAGTAAGATTTGCAGCTGTTCTTCAGTTGTTTCTGAAAATAGCTGCACCAGAAGAGTTTTCTCTATACAGGGAGAAAACATTAACACAAAAAAAGTATGAAAGATAGAGCAAAACTTAGTCAATAATTAAGCAATAGGCATGACAGTCAAATAAACTGACAGATGAACAAACTGTAATCAGTAAATTCATGGAGGTAAGTGTGGTTAAAGCACTTTCATGGGAGCTGCAACCAGCTGAGGTTATCAGATCTGTAAAGCAGAAAAAATTCAGGTGTATTCTGGTGACTTTTGAAATGCATGCAAATTAAATCACACATTTGGATGAATAGATCTGGCTTATGGATGCAAAGAGTTGTTGGTTTGTAACTTATTGATACTCACTGTGCCTGCGCCTTAGTGATCCTCTTCCCCATCAATAACATTTCCGCCAACCTTGCAACAGCAGGGTCAAAGTTCAAGCTGGCAGCTGCAACAACTTCTTCATCCCTGGATCATGAGGTAAACAGTGATGAATGAAGAGAGATCCTAAATTTGACATTTGTAATATTTGTGTACTTTTAAATCCCTATATACGCTTTTACATGTGCATAGTCTAATGCACAGCTACAGAATTATATATGCTTGGAGCTTTATTTGTTTTGCCATTTCACCAAAACATTGTATGTAAAAAAAAAATGAGGATTTGGGTGGAATTTTATAGCAGCTTTAAACTGTTGTTTAAGCTTTATAATGGTGAGAATAAGAATATAATAAGAGTATAATAAGTATTATAAGCATTTTAAGTATAATAAGAATCTCTTTTTTTGGCAAACAAAGCTAAAGAAGGTCTCTCATGATATAATACATCCACTTAAAGACATAAAAATATTACTTTACAAATTGTATTGTACTTAAATCATCTAAATATTTGCATACTCTTCAATTGTATATGATGAAACTTTCTTCAGTTAAACATAAAAGAAGATATTCTAAAGAATGTTGCATATAAAAAGCAGCCATTGACATCCACAGAAGGAACTAAAAATATTATGGAAATTAATGGCTGTTTTTTTCTAACATTCTTCAGAATATCTTTGTATTTGACAAAAGAACTAGTGGCAGATGAGTAATGATGACTGAATATTTATTTATGGGTGACCTATCCCTTTAAACTGCAGCCTGATTCAGTGTTGACACCTTTTGGACAGATTAAGTAGTGCAAAAACAATTCAAACCCATGTGCAAAATGTAGGTGGTGTGTAATCTTATGCACATACTAT